GGCATGTGGTGCTGGGGGATGGAACCGCGGTCCCTGTGCTTTGCCAAGCTTGTTCCAAGTAGGTGCTTTAGACCACTGAGCCATCTCTCCAGCCCCGAATTCCTCCAATTTTGCTAGTGTTTGTGTCATGTAGTTTGGGATTCTAATGATAGTTGTGCATACATATGTAATTTCCCCCTCAAATATTAATCCTCTTATCATTGTGAAATCTTCTAGCCAAGCAGTATAGCTTGTCATAAGTATATTTCAGCTCATTTTTCATCTACTTGATCGGGCCAGGGTGATGGTGGGGGATTGTGTTGATGTTTATCTGATCTCTTATGTCCAGTAGTATTTTTTATGAAGTTGGGTGCACTGGTGTATGGTCCATATATGTTTATAATTGTTATCACTTCCTGTTGAATTATGCCCTTAACCACTATGTGGTGACTTTCTTTGCCTCTTCTCATTAGTTTTGGCTTTGAAGTACACTTTGTATAAAAATAGAATAACTACTTCTCCTGTTGTCAGGTTCCTGTTACATGGAATACTACTTTTGTGTTGCATGGAATACTAGATTTTTAGTCTATTTTTTGGGGGAGGTGGGGAGGAGATGAGTAAATGTGTTTCTTGTATGTAGCATGCTGTTGGATTTTGTTTCTTCATGCAGTCTGCCAATCTGTGTCTTTCAGATTGGGAATTGAGACTATTCGTTCACGTCGAAAGTTATTATTAAATGTATTGACTTATTTTTGTCATCTCATTATTTTCTTGTTGCTGTGCTTCCCCTTTGATTTCCTTTGCTGCTTAACAGCTTGCCCTGCTTAGTATATTCATTCTATCGGATCTTTTGTCATTATTGTCTACTTTCTAGGAGTTCCTTGAGAATTTTTTGAGCACTGCTTTGGTTGTCATGAATTTATTAAGGTGCTCTTTGTCATGGAAAGACCTTATTTCTACATCAATTTTTTAGTTTTAATCTTTTTTATGTATTTGGTATAGAGGTTACAGGGTGTTCAGGGTCTCGCTACATAGATCAGACTCATAGTGATCCTCCTGTTTTCATCCTCCCAAGTGCTGGGATTATAGGCATGTGCCACCATGCCCAGTCTCAGTTGCTATCTCAGTGTATCCGAGGGGTGGGGCCCGCAGGGCACAACTTCTGCTGTTGTTGTTTTGGAGATAGGGTCTCACTGTGTAAATCAGGCTGGCCTTGGACTCCCTATGGAGCCAAGTCTGGCCTTGAACTCAAGGGATCCTCAGACTCCCGAATGCTGGGATTACAGGTATACATCACCATACCTGCCAGTGCTATTATTTCTGTAAAGAGGTTTATTTGTGCTACTTTTGATTCCTTCTGATTTTTCTCTAAATCCAGATTTTGGATCTATTTTTCATGTTTTCTTAAGGTATCTACCTCAGCCCTATCTTGTAGTTCTTACCCTCTGTCCTGATAAAATTGGTTGATTCCGCTGTCCATTCTTTCAGTAGAAATTTTAGTCTCTTGAGTTTGTTTGCTACCTTTAATGAACTCTGCTCATAGTGCTATACTGGTGATTCATGTTTTGTATTGTTTTGCACAGCCTCTTTCATTAGGTTATTTTTTAGTTATATCTTCTTTGAGCTTGCTGAGCACCTGTCTTAGTTACTTTTCTTGTCACTAAGACAAAATACCCAGCACTCAGAGTTAAAGGAGGAAAGATTTATTTCAGCTCATAGTATATAAAAGTTTTATCCTGTAATTTGCTGGCTCCTAGTCAGGGTGGCATGGCAGAGGGGCATTGCTGAGTGGGCAGGAAGCAGCAGAAGACAAGCAGCAGCAACAGAAGCAGAAGTAGCCACAGCTCCTTTTTGTCTCTTTGTTTTATGTCTAGGCTACCCACCCAGAACTATGCCAGACCAATCAGTGTGCTAATTTAAGTAATCACACACCCTTAATCCCAACATCACACACACTACACCCAGCCACCTCTGATAAAGCCCCCACCTATGGCTGCATGAGGCTTTGGGGGACATCTATACATAAATTATAACAGTACCTTATTGATCATTTTAAAAAATAATTTAAAAAAAGAATAAAAAAATTTCATGTTACTCTTTTTTTTTAGTGTGTGTGTGTGTGTGTGTGTGTGTGTGTGTGGCCAGCTCGGCCCACCAGGGGGCGGGGCTGGCTGGCATGTGGTGCTGGGGGATTGAACTGTGGTCCCTGTGTTTTGCTAAGCTTGTTCTAAGTAGGTACTTTAGACCACTGATCCATCTCACCAGCCCTTCATGTTACTCTTGAGTAATTCATTTATGCACTTTTAATTTCTTTCCCATTGATGCTCCATGGATTGATCTGCTTTGGAGGAGTTGGGGTATTTTTTGGAGGTATTATGTTGCCTTTTTTTCTCACATTTGTTTCAGTTTAGTTTAGTTTGTTTGTTTGTTTGTTTGTTTTTTTCTGATATTTGCAGGATGAGTACATTGGAAGGCTTTGTGGTTTAGAGACCTCTGTAGTTAGTTTCTGCTTTTTAGTGATATACTCTTGGCATGGCTTACTATAGGCCTTTCTCCTGTTCCACAATCCAACTATCTCCATTTATTTGGGAGGGGAGGCTGCAGTGTAATTGGCCCAGTTCTCTAGTAATGGGCCACAAAGGTAATCCAGATATTGGCATAAAGAGAAAAACCAATTAATAGCAATAATGATACCACCTTGGCAGTAGCAATAAAATCAACAGCAGTAATAGCATCAAAGACAAACTGGATGTTGACATAGCCAAAGAACTAATCATGTACCACCCTTAACCAGGGGGAAAAATCTATAATTATAGTGTAAACACTAAAATATACCAAATATTTATATACAGAAAATATCAACTAAATGTAACAACTTTACCTCCACTAACCATAGAACAGTATTCAATAGTAATAGCAGTATTTACTAGCTATAGATTTATAGTGTAATGGTTATAGTAATAAAGATAGAGGGGATAGGGAACTGGAGAATTGGAAAAGTCAAATTTGAAAAACTAATGGAAGATGAGAGAGAAGTGAGATGAGTAAAACGAAATGATTGTATTATATAAAAATAACCAAAAGGAAGAAAAAGAAAAACCACAGAGCAAAATTAGTGATGAAAGAAATGAAGGAGCCAGGTGTGGTGGTACAAGCCTGTAATCCCAGTGCTCAGGAGGCTGAGTGAGGCAAAGGGATTGCTGTGAGTTAGAGGTCATCCTGGTCAACATAGTGAGTTCAGGGCCAGCCTGAACTACGTAATGAAACTGTCTCAAAACAAACAGACAACATAAGGAAAAAAGTTAAAAGGAGAACAGTGAAAAAACTACCCAAATACTCCAAAACCAATGAAGGAAATAAAAGAATTTTTTGAGTCCCTGATGTCCCCCAAATTTTTCCATACTTTTGAATGAAAATTTCTTTCCATCATCCAGTTTGGAAATTGAACAAGTCATGATTTCTTTGTCTAGCTTTATGGACTGTGGGTTGTTAGGACTTTAGGTTTTTTCCCCTTTGCTCCAGATGCCACTCTTGCTGTATATCCCTAGACTGTGGCACCCATCCGTGCTGAGATGGTCCTTGCTCCTGTTGTTATATGGAGAGCAGTCAGACAGCTGGTCTCTGCTGGGTGTGGACAGAGCAGCAGGGCTCAGGATCACTGGTAGACTGAATGGCAGCACTTCCAGATCCAGTCATCTCTGAAATCCATACTTTCCAGCGGGCAGTGTCCTTCCAGTCCTGAGTTTTAAACTTCTCAATGCAGTGGAGCTTTGTCTAGCCTGTACCTTCTCCATGAAAGTTGCCAGTGTCTGTGTAGGGTAACAATGGAAACTCTGAAGTGGATTTTATTCATACTTGTTCAGCCTTTAACAGTAAATCCCTTGCCAATAGATATCTGATTCAATACTGGCAATATGGTGAGTACTGTACTGGGTTTCTTATCTCACTATAGCCTGCCATGGAGCTACTTTCAGAATAATGCCTCACACTGTTTTTATAGTGTCCAATGACCGAGAGCTTTTCTTGGGGTAGTGCTGATGGGCAGGTCCATAGTTTCTCCCTGGATCTTCCAACCTTCTCTGCTTCTCTCTTGGCCTCTTCCACTATCAGGTCAGTCCACTGGTCAGCACCTCTGCTGCCCTGGGCCAAGGTGAAACAAAATGCAGAGCTGGCTCAGAGTTGCTGGTGGCTATGACCAACTCCATGGTGTGGAGTTAGTCAGGCCAAAGCCTGGGGAGCATGGGTCCATCTGGTCTGTGAGGGCTTGGATCCATCCCAAAACATCAGTTAGGAGATGCTAGTTTCTAACTGTGTGTTTTTTTTTTGTTTTTGTTTTTTTTTTTCCCTAGCTACACATTTGCTTTTGCAGAGAGGGTTTCCCAACTTTTTCTTTCTTGCTTTTTAAAAAGTATTTCTATGATTTTTCTCTAAGCACATACAAAATATTATATACAAATCATAGGCTTTTCAATTCTATTTTATTTTCTGATGTGTTATAATTAAACAGAAATTTAATTCTTTTAATGTTACAGCTTTCAAGTTCTACCTATAAAGACAAGAATGAGGAATACAAAAGACAGTTCACACATCTACCTGATACAGAGAAGCTGATAGCAGGTAAGAAAATAAAACTGAGAATTGTATGAAAATACTTTTTTTATCCTCACTGTCAATAGCAGAGATGAGTGACTATATAAAGAAAATTAAGTGTTTCTACTAGACAGAAAATCATTTTCAAGATAAGCAGCATCTTTATCATTCACAATTAGACAATGTAAAACCAAGTTGTAATTTGGGAAGAGGTGATTTCTGACTTGTAAGAATATTGAGTACTAAGCAAATATAAGTAATAAGAAATGACTTGTCACAGTTTCTTCTGGTACTTGTTTCTTCTGGTTTTAGAGGGAAAATTTAAATCTCGTGGTCAACATATATTAACTCACCTCAGAAAAATCTACTTTCTAACAAATATAGAGTAATTTTTTTAAAATTTTATTTATTTTTATTTATTTATTTGTGTGTGTGTGTGTGTGTGTGTGTGTGTGTGTGT